TTATTGTTATTATTATTGTTATTATTGTTGTTATTATTATTGTTGTTGTTGTTATGGGTGGGGGGTTTTTTTTTTTTTTTATGGCCTTGATTATTTATATGTTTTATAATAGGATTGAGTTTAAATAAATTTATTGAAATAATATTTAAATTATTATTTAATTATAACATAGTTTTTAAATAATATTATAGATTTTTATAATAATATTAATAATTATATATGAATCTAATATGCTTAATTTTATTTTTTTTTGAAAAAACCCTTATGAACATTTAATGCACATAAAATATCTATAAACTATTTTTTGTGGTAAGTTTTTTATATAGTTTTTCTCAATTTTATATTTTTTATATATTTATCATGGAAATTATTAATTTTTTATTCAAACTTTCTTCTAAGATTATGATAAGTCTTAAATTAAAAACAATATTTATTAAAACAATTGCCAATAAAAATATAAACAAAAACACATGATTAAAAAAAGAGAGTTTTGATTAAAGATATATATTTTTTACTCTTTATTTCAACTCAATATAATTTTTTCTAATTTTTATTTTTATTGTCTTTATTTTTTATTCATTGAATCATATTACTATTTAAAAACAAGTGTTTTAACTCCCCCTAAATATTAGCCATAATATTAGCCATGCACTCTAGCATTCTTATGCACTTCGAGATGAATATGGTTGGATTCAAACAATGCCTTTGAATCCATTTTTCATCTCTAATTAGTTTAAAAATTTTGTTTGAGCTTAACACTATTTTGAAATTTTTTTTAAGATTTTAAGTTGATTTTTTAGTATTTTATACTGATTCGATATATCTTATTTTAATTAAGATACAACTCAAAATATCACAAAGAATAAAATTACATTTTAGTCTATTCTCTTCAATTAAAAACAAGATTTACTGTCTATGAATAAATTATGAATTCTTCAAACTCAACATTTATAATTTCTTCATTTTAACACTTTTGACATATATATTTTTATAATTTATCTTTCTAAAATATCACCACACTTTCTTTTTCTATAAAGTTAGTAACTTAAACATCTAAGAGTTTTTATATCCATTAAAGAGAACTTTTTATATGTATCAATTATCAGTCATTTTGGTTTACAATGCATCACCAGCTACAAATTACTAATTACTTGTGCTTTTTATATTATCTTACTAGATATCTTGACTATAAAAAATAAATTATATTGCTTAACTAATTATTTAAAATTACAATTTTATTTTTTTATTTTTAATTATCTTGAATTTTAAAACTCATTATATGTGAAAAGGTTATATAAGAAATGCATACGAAAAAGGTGAGAAAAAAGTTAAATATGAAGGAATATATATATATATATATATATCAAAGCTATGAGGTATGAAAGATATTTGTCATAGCATTATATTTAAAAAAAAAGGTAGAGAAAAAAAATGATAAGAGGTTTAAATGCTGAGAAAAAAAATGGCAAGAGGGTAAGATTTAAATGTTACGCGTTGGAGTTAAGAGAAAGAATAATTGAAAAAATTATAAATAATAGTAAATCTTGATAAAGATAAAAAAAAGAGGGAAATTTAAAATTGAATATACTTATAAAAAATCAACTAATATAAGAAAAAGAATAATAAACTATGTTATAATAAAAAAAATGGAGAGAAGGACTTAAAATCTAAAAATTTTCATGTGACAAGTCGCATGAATTTCTTTGAAATGTTGATCGTTTAATAGCTCAACTCCAACCTCTTCAAAGTCTATATTGTTTGCTCTATATAAACAAAAATATAAAATTCAGTTCAAACATGTTATTCAAATATAAGAAGAAACGAAGCTCAAAAATTTGCAGTGTGAATTTTTACATTGAGCTGAAACCATTGCAGAGGAATTAAAAAGGATTTTCTAAAAAACCAAAAAAAAAAACCTTGCAGAAGAAGATGATTGCCCTAACGAACTTTTAGCTATTTATCTCGATTAATTTTATAAATTTTTAAATTAATAACTATATAAATATATAGTATTTTTAAAATTTATAAAACTTAAACTATAAATTTTAAAAAAACAAATCTAAAATTTAATCATTTAAATTATACCTCAAAAAAATTTGTTCAATCACTCATGATTCTTACAGTAGTGTTTGTTATTGTATTAGATTATGAACCCTTTATCCTCAAAATGGTCAAGTGGATATCTAATTTAATTAATAACAAGCTATTCACATAAAGCATGACCTGCACACAGTGATTGATGGTCTGCCTACCATTCATGTTTTTTTATTGTATGTTTGTTAACATGTTAACAAACATACAATAAAAAAACATGAATGGTAGGCAGACCATCAATCACTGTGTGCAGGTCATGCTTTATGTGAATAGCTTGTTATTAATTAAATTAGATATCCACTTGACCATTTTGAGGATAAAGGGTTCATAATCTAATACAATAACAAACACTACTGTAAGAATCATGAGTGATTGAACAAATTTTTTTGAGGTATAATTTAAATGATTAAATTTTAGATTTGTTTTTTTAAAATTTATAGTTTAAGTTTTATAAATTTTAAAAATACTATATATTTATATAGTTATTAATTTAAAAATTTATAAAATTAATCGAGATAAATAGCTAAAAGTTCGTTAGGGCAATCATCTTCTTCTGCAAGGTTTTTTTTTTTGGTTTTTTAGAAAATCCTTTTTAATTCCTCTGCAATGGTTTCAGCTCAATGTAAAAATTCACACTGCAAATTTTTGAGCTTCGTTTCTTCTTATATTTGAATAACATGTTTGAACTGAATTTTATATTTTTGTTTATATAGAGCAAACAATATAGACTTTGAAGAGGTTGGAGTTGAGCTATTAAACGATCAACATTTAACTCCTGAGTTCAAAGGCACTCCTTAATCAAGCATTCCTTTTCTCTGTGTGTTATATATGTGTCGATTTTAATTTTTTTTGAGTGCAAAAGTTGAGGCTTTTGTTGCTCGTTAGCAAAACTGAGACCACTACTCCAGATGGAAATTATGGTCATCAAGTGTTTAGGATGCTTAAATTTGTGCCGGGGAATGATCTGTCTTTGTCAAGAAAGTTGAGACAGTAATGTGTGATTCTTGATTGTGATTTCAGAAATAATCCTACGGGAAAAGTGCCAGCGACTGCAGTTGATGGAAAATTCAAGCTTTTTGAGAGGTAACTTAAACACAAACTGCTAGTTGCTTGCTCGTCCTTGTTTTGATCTCGTATGTTTTGGTTACTGGGAATCTAGAACTTGGGTTTGCTGCTAGCAACTCTCTTCTACGATATAGTTTTATATATATCCAGCACTTGTAAATTTTTGCTACTGTGTGAGAATGTGTTGAATAATGCAGGTGACAATGTGTCTTTTTTCTGCATGTGCTTTCAGTTGCAGGATTTAGTGTATTCAAAGACTAATTGAACGTTTTATATGATTTTAAGACTTGAATGCTGGTGGCCAGTTCTTAACATGTTTTATTGTTCACACTGTAAGGTATCCGGCTGATCACTACAAGAGAGCTTAAATTCACTCAAATTTTGGATTGACAAAGCTATAAATTCATCCCTGTCGAAGATAGAGGCTCTGTGGCTTAAAGAGAGTGGCCAGTTCTTGCTAGGCAGCAGTCAACCATCCATAGCTGTTCTAAGCCTCCTCTGTGAGATAATGCAACTAGAGGTATGTAGACATGACTCACCATTTCTATACGATGCAGCTAGTGTTGCTTCTATAATGGGAGAAAATTCAA